CATGGGCAATTTATAAAATAAACGCTGCATACATGTAAATTCTACGTTCCGAAATACTGGCAGGACAAAATCGCGTACAGCAAAAGTACGAAGCAACTGAAAAAAGCTCTAGATATATCCAAAACATGCTCAAATTATACAATCAGCAGAAAACAAGCAAAATACATGCAATAGCAATATTCAGTGCCGAGCCTTGAGCTTTCTTCTTAGACAAGATTGTAACAAGAAACATTCGACAGTCAACCCCGTCATCGCGATATTCATTGACCGGCTAAAGCAATTCAAATTTGAGTTTCAGACTGAATGTCCCATGCATACTCTACTTCTTGTAACAGAACTTGTCAACAGTAAAGATTTAAAACAAATTTATGGAGGTGCTATAGGTAGTAAACAAGCACCAACAAAGGTACATTTATTCGTGAACAATATGGAGGAAAAAGAGAGGATGAAGGGAAAAAGAGTTAATCTCCCATATCCCTCACTTGCTATTTTTAGATCCCTCCCGCTATCGGAAATCACAGGAGGGAAGCATTACAACAGACTTAAGCGAACTTCCTTTCTTCTTATAAACTTAGCTGTTGCTGATCTGCTTGTCGGAGTCACAGAACCATTAACGTTAAGAACTTTCCATATTCCTCAGTATCTTGAAAAACCAACCGTCAACAACATTCCTAATGGAGAGATTTCAACTGCTTTTCAAATAACTTTTTCTTTTGTATCAGTATTTTTCCTCGCACTCATCTCTCTGGAACGTGCATATGCTTTGATTTGGCCGCTCCGCCATCGAGTAGCAAGTACTAAAAGCTGCCTTTGTGCAGCCACGTTTCTGTGGGTAGCTGTAATCTTTGCCGGGGCATTGGCTCTGCTAGCTGTATACGACATATTGGATTTCTCGTACTGTGCAGTTGAATTCTGCGGAGTCTTGTTTTCATGTTTGATCACGATCTGCGTTTCTTATCTGAAAATCCGACAAAGGCTTAACTGCAGAGACCCTGTCATAGACACCGCTTATAACAAGCGAAATGAGTCGCAACAGATAGTGAAACTCTCTAGGACTCTGTTTATTGTGATAACTGCATCTCTTCTCTTTTGGATTCCAGGTATCGTAGTTCCCTGCACTCGTTATCTCTGTTCCAAGTGTGTTCCATTACTTTGGACTTACATTTTTAACCTTTTTCGTTTGGCTAATTCTCTTTTAAATCCTATTATTTACAGTTTTCGAATTCCCATGTTTAAGGAAATATTTAAAAGAACAAAGCTCTGTAAGAGGTCAAAACAATATACAGTTAATTATACAGGTTGATGTTTTAGTAGAACCGCTCAGGGAAAGAAAAGGAAAGGTGCATGGCAAGTATCAATCTGTCAAAAATGTGTTGAAGAATAAGAACGCGAGCCAGAATGTATTCGATAAATTTATCTAGCATGTATTGAATTATTACGGGAAAACTTGTTTTTGGTGCAGGATAATATAATCGTGGGATATTTCGGGGTATTAAAAAAGGTTACTTGATTTTCTTTTTCTGTACTGATCAAATTATACCTTCTCCTTAATTACGTTATGTTGGTACTCTAGAAGGGAAAACTGGAGTTTATTCATATTCCATTGAATGCCATTATTTTGCGGCATTCCCAACCGTATTTACTCTTACCTTGGTTAATCTTCTTACGGGTGGCAGCCGAGATAATGAATTAAAACCGATGTCTAGTTTTTAAAAGCGCCTTTCCTGGAAATAATAATTTTGGATTCCATGACTTATCAGGATTTTGTTATCTAATTTTTCAGCTAAACTTTGTTCGTTTAGTCGTCCTTTTTGGACATTCAAATACGGTTGTTTGATTAAAATTTTTGTTTCGTTCACCCTTCGCACACGATGAAAACAAACGCGTCCATTTCGCAAATAACATGGTGGGTACTCCTTGAATATGTTTGAACTTGAGAGCACGTACAGTTAATGATATGGAGCTAGGCAGGTTCAGAATTTAAGAAAGGCCAACCCACGAATTGTGCAATCTTCTTCTTGTAATGTCCTACCAGCTCGTTGCTAAAAAATTCGACGGCAGTTTATAGTAACTGATGGTTCTTTTTCACACCAGATCAACCTATCTAACAAAATTGTCATTGACTTCGCCTTTAGTCGTTGAGAACACGCAGGGAAGTAATCTTATACTGATGTAATTTCCCTCGAATATCCGAACAATATTGTTTCCCACCACGAACGTCATTTTCAGCACTTCACAAGTTTGGCATCATCCACAAAAAAGACCAAAGCAATATTCCATGAGCGCTACCCATTTAGCGACTTACAAGGAGATGGAATAACCAGCTTGGTCTTTCCTCTATGATCATGCATTAAATCTGTCCATTTGACTACATTCCCTTCTCCTGACAGACAAGACTTTGACAAGCTTTCGATTTCTTCAGCTAATAACACGTGATCCCATACATTCAAATTTGTCTTCATTCCTTTAAACGACTGGTTAGGTTGGAACTCACCAGGAGGATCTTGCTCGATTCCCACAACTAAAGATCCTCCCGATCTAATCACGTGACCAACCTTCAAGCTTTCCCCTTGTTTTTTTACGCGTCCATCTTTATAGAATTTCCACGAGCCCGCATTGTTTTCCCAGGATGCGCATATGTGATGCCATTTGCCGTCGTTTGCAGAAACTGATGTAGTTCTGTAAAACAATATAACAAATGGTCAACGTACAATGTTCAACCATTGAGTTATGCAGGCAGGCAGGAGGTTGTTAAGCACGCGGTAAGCGATAGCATTCACAATAAGGATAGAACATGGTAAAAGCCCAAAACCATTTTAACAAATTTGTTTGATTGAAACAAGGCTAGTTTCGAGAGTGATAGACATTTCGTCTCCCTTTTAAGCACAAGTCTTGTGATCGTACCTTTTTTGGCAAGCTTCGGAAGCATATCGGGCTCGTTTGGTTTCGCCATGGATACTTTGTCTCGACTTCGTCTCGTCAAAATATAAATCATGCAATGGCTCGTCCAAACTCGCCTGAAATGCACTTGAAACGTACCTAAAAGGTACGTCGATTATATCCGTTGACGTCTCCTTAACGAGGTGGAATCTTGTTGGTGGGCAATTTCAATGTCTTGCTAGCACCCTTGTCAATGATTTGACAATCATCGATCAAAAACTGTCGCCGGAAATACCTGGAAAATGATCGGAAACATTCCTTTGACCTTGGTGCAATGATTGGAAATCTTCAGAAAGTTGCAGATAACAAACTAATTCATAAGGACGTTTATACAGGGTTGCTCAGAGAATTTCAAATTTTTTGATACCTCACGAGCTGAAGACTTGAGGTGAAATGCATTTTTCCATACACTCAAGCATGATTCCACAATAAATTAATGCTCTGCCTCACAGCCTTATAGCGTTCCCAGACTTCTACTTTTCCTTAGCTCTACTGCAATATCTCTGTTATTGAAAAAAGAAGTTTTAAACCTGGGGCGACGGCTCTATACTTACTCCTGTTTGCCACCAATGCCAAGGCGAAATGATCTGTAGTCATAAATGAGCAGCTCATTATCTTCCTCTTTTAAGGAATAACTGAGTGGTGTTCCTCTATTCTCGGTGTCATTGGACTTCATCCAAAAACACAATGTAAACTGTGTCAGATCTGGCAAACCTCCGGCCACCTGGGCAAAATCTTTACTTTCTTCGTTCAGAAATTGTAAAGCATAGTCTGTGAGTAAAAATTGTTGATCTACATATTAGTTAAGTCAATGAAACTGCAAATACAGGGTTGGAACTATTTCAAGATTATAAGTAATTAAATGGTGACTATTGAAGTAGTAGGCCGTGTATAACCAGCGCTCTCCTCTAGAGACTCTCCCTCCGAAGTTTCTTGGGAGAACGGGCGACTGTACTCGAACTAGTGAAATTGGAAATAAGTGCAATTTGCAAAACTTTATTAATCCCTTTTATTAAGGGACGTATTTTTTCTCAGCTCATGAGCTAAATTGTGAGAGTTTATTTGTGCTTTTGTAGCTCGGCGCTGTAATGGCGCGTAATCCTGTGTTTCTCTCGCCGCACAATTTTTAGCAAAAAATGAGTCAACTACAGTCGAGTTTAGCTCTCTGATCATTGCTGTATTTAAGAAAATGTTTTGTGAAATACACTTAATCAATTTCCTTGCTTTCTGCTGCTCAATTTACAATAGCAAAGTTTGATTTCGAGTGATTCGCAAGGACTGACAGAAATTGTTTTTGCAGTACAACTTCAAACCAAAAAAACATAAACATGTTATTTTCCGGCTTAGGGTCGGCCCGTATAGTGAGAAACTGTGACCACAATTTTTCACTATACGGACCACCCAGCCGGCAAATTTATTTAGCGAGGATCTGTTGTATCGAAAGACAAATTTGATATTTTCAGCTTATCATCTTTCGCAGTAATTCTAACCTTTTTTGGAGAATGGAGAACTGTCATTTTCAGACCTTGTCAGCAGATGACGTGAAAAAGAGAGAAATCCAAAGGAAATGGGTTTGACCGACGACTGAGTTCGAAATAACATGGTCCGCCAGTGAGCATCGAAGCGTGTAACGAAGTCATAAAGAAGCCCAGCAACAACTAATGATTATACGTTTATCTTCCAAGAGCCGTCGTGCTCTAATTGGCTAATTGCGAATTTGGGTGCAGTAAATGCTAAAACCGGTGTTTTAGCAACTCAAGTCAAATTAAATTTCTGGTATATCTCTGTCTGTTATCCCCTACCCAAAGACTGATCATGGACTCAGGTTTTTGATGCCTAATATCTTCGGTACAAAATTGCAAGACCTACCTTTCCTAGATAATCGTTTTACGTAGAACCTTTCTGGATCTCGAACAAAGTATTCCGGCTTTTCCTCTTTCGTTCTATTGTTCAGTTCGCAAATGTTCTCCTGGGTGACGTAATTGAAGCTCTGGCATCTAACGTCTTGCTCACATTTGAAGTCACATATGTACACAGCTTTCACTACAACCCTTTTAAAGGTGTGACCTTTAAGAGCCATACTGGGTACATTTTCTTGTGTGAAACACTGACCAGTGGCTACGTCAAGAAATGCCAAGAGGAGGAATAGGTTTACATAAACTGTCATTTTGACAAGTTATTCCAGTTCTGAAAAGCAAACGAAAATTAAATGCAGAACTGCTCACGGTTATTTTTTCTCCTGAAGTGACATAAAAGACAAAAGATCAATAATCACATATTTTAAACGGTATGTCAAATTTGGCAACTAATCAAGAATTTCTCAAAGGTAACAATTTCTCAACCGACGAAGACACTTGCCATGAGCCACTTAAGTTCATGGATCAGGGGTATCGTTGCAATAAGGCAGCTGCAGTTATTTCATTTTCTCGACCGACTAAAAACGGTTTGACTTAAGTACATACAATAGCTGTCTCTGGCCCTGATTGGCTAGACTGATTTTAATAAGGCGGTCTCTGTTTCTCTTAGTTAAACAGAGCAGGAGATTCGCAAGTATTGATCGATTCATTAATTCTGATAAGGCAGTCAATCTGTTGTCTCAAAATATCTCCATCAATTAAACACGACAAGATTAACTTTAGGATTTCCTCAAGTTTCCAGAGCAGATAGCCGCACCAATACCACTTGAACGAAGTTTTGTTTAATTTTTGTCAACCTTCTGCTGGTTTTCTTCCAACTGGCCATAAATAATGCAAGAACTTCAAGAAGGAGAGTTTGTTGAGTTTGTTAGCCAGTTTTGTTAATTGACATCTCTGCCTCTCACATCTTGCTAGTTGAAACAGAGCCATAAGATGTCAAAGAGTTGTAAGAAAAAAACAGACCAAAAACTCTGTTACAACGAAAATACTGTTAACCGAATGAGAACCCTGGTTGATCAAAATTTCTCTACGTCCTAAGTGTCATCTTAAAGACTCACCATTCCTCATGCTTATTTCTGGCAAAGTGCACTTGGATATCGCTCGTCGCTAAAATAGCATCTGGCCTTATTTGTTTTATCGGCATATGCTATTTTTTGCCAGGTCATAATGTCATATAAGACGTATAGAAACATGATTAAAGTAGCAAGTTATGAAAACTACTTTCTTTTTAATTATTTTAGATATTGGAGAAGTGTCATGCCGATCAAGCACAACCTATACAAAATAAAAGTGAGCAAGACAAGGCAACAATTGTACGTTATTGATTGACGAGAAGTTATATTTATCGATACTTTTCGATCTGGAAGTTTTTTGACTGTTAATTCTCCTTGCCTAATAACAAGTTGTCCATGCTTTAGAAGATCGCGGAGGATTGTTAAAATACCAGTTTGCTATTGAACGATTAAAAACAAGGAAGACGCAAGTTTTCTTATTTCTCTCCTCCGCTGTACAATTGTTGTCGATCTCCGCCATTTCGTTTCTTCTAACGTCGCCGTTTAAACGCCGTATCGCTTGTCAGAAATAAAGTTAAAAAGGCGTTTCATTTCTAAATTACAGTTACTTTCTTTAAAACAAAATGAAATAACAATTATAACAAAGTTTCCTGGGAATTTTGCGACCTGAAAGGTCCTACATTGTATTAGCAGTTCAAAATCGTACCTCGGCTTTTTTTGATCCGTGAAACGTGTTGTGATGTACCATCGGTAGCGGGATAAATGTTGAATGTTGCCTTGCATTAGCAGAAATGAGAGAAACAATTAAACATCTGTCAAAACTTCTGTTGCTAAGAAACTGCAACTGCCGTCATATAATACTAGATTGCTTTCCTACAACTGGCTTTATTTCAATACAGATATTTTAATCAACGCTGTTCAGGTGAATGCGTCAAGGTCACGCGACAACACCAAATTAAGGTTACCGTATACTTTTAAAGGTGTCTCGAGTCAAAGCGATATGGCGCGTCCGGTTTAAACAGTAGGTACCAAAACCCCATATCAAATTAAAGCTTATAGAGCGAGCTATTAAACCGTACCAGGAATTTTAATAAAATGAATTGTCGAATTTTTCACGACCTCTAAATGTGCGCGTTCGAATCACCTTTTGAAAGTTGACTACAAGTCAAAGGAAATTTGTTCTCTTGCCCTCATATTTGCACAGTAGTTAGTTTAATATATAAACAACAAAAAACTTGTCCACGAAATACTTTATTTCGAAATTTTTTTTTTTCCGAGAGCATTTTTTGTACGATCAATCCACATCCTTTTAATGCTATTTTGAAAATGATCTCTGACTTTTCTTTGCAATTGAATATTGCAAAATGTAGACACGTTTTCTCCCCTTTGGCTCCGGAAACTGAGGAAGAAATTAAATTAACGAAAAACAAGATTCGCAAAGCTTGATAGCCAGCTCTATACGCTTTAATTAGATAATATAAAATTGGTCAGAGTAAACACACAGAGTCGAAACCATAACAAGCGATGAAGCGACTCCGTGTCGTCATTATAATGATCAAGATTTGGTTAAGCACTGGACTGCTAACTTCTGCATATGTACATTTGACTATGGTAACAAACGTCGTGTTTTTGTCAAGTTTTTTGCTATTTTTTCCTCGTGAACCTTTTTTCATCAGAAGCTATTTCTTTGCCGGAAAATAAAATGTTTATTCTCACTTTTCATTATGGAGCAGACGAAGCGCCTTGTTTAATTTTAATTAAATTTGACAATATTAATTAAACGTAATTTAATTTTAATTAAAAGTAGCCGAACTTTAAAACGAACCATTTACATAAAAATGCAGATAAATCAATTTTGAAATCCGACGACGAAAATTCCGTATTTCATCAAACAAGCCGATCAAGCCCGGTATCTCGATGTTTTTGCGTGCTCTTTTCAAGGCAATCACAACGACACAACTTGCTGCACAAAAATCTTCCAAAAGTTACTCTGAATATAACATGCTAATGCATTTGTGTTACACATGTAGCTAACGCAGATATATCTGAAAGGCTGGCCTTCACTGAAAGAAACTGACTTGGCAAAAACCTACAGCAGACGTAGTCAGCGCTACAAGAGACCGTGATTATGGGACACGCAAATTGAAATTGATATCATTTTCATGCGACTGATTATCTATTTCTACCTTGATGACAAAAAGGAGGAGCATCTATGGTAAATCCTGAATCCTTTTAGGGAGGGATAAACCTACTAAGTCGAGTATAGCACCTCTAACCGTGTTTATTTAGACTGCAATGAACACTGTATGAAAACCCTTGTACACTCTTTTGATTTTATACGCAAGGTATCTGGCTATTTTTCCACATTCCTCCCGGGGCAGTTTGTCACTTGTCAAGAAACCTGCAAATACACGACTTCTGAGGTCTGAGCAGTTGTTTGATGAAGTAAAGAAAATATCTAGCCTAGGAGGTCAAAATTATGGGTATTTGTTGTACAAATCAGGATTTAAATATATTCAGATGCCTCGAACGATTTTACTCTCGCGAAAACATTACTACAATTTTGTTAAACATACACACACTCTTGGTACAGGTTACTAAAATTCGAAGAAAATGGAAAAAAATATTTCCTGCCAGTAAGAGGTAACACGTTGCTAATGCGCAAATAAATAAGTTCGGTGTCGGGGGGAGGGCACCTTCACTATATAGGAAAACTAAGGAAGGGGACTTCTGACACATGAGCCTCCAGAAGGCTGTGCAAAGGAACGCACGATACTTGATCAATCTAAAAGTGTTGAAATAACATTGTGAGCGGCTGAAATTGCAATAGTTATAGTGTATATTAGCCTCTACGTCAGTCAGAAAATAAAAGATCAGAGATTTTCTAGTGCTCATCTTTTCAGTTGCCAAACTCTGGTGTTTTTAGAGCCTAGTTTCTCCATTATTTACACGAAAAGGGGTGTCTCATCGCT